GCGGTCAGAAGAGGCTCTCAATCATAAGCTCCACAATCAACTGGGGGAGTTCAATGACAGCCCAGGGCAGGGAGGAGAGAAAGAATTAACTTTTTTAAAGGTCACCAGCAAATAGAGGGAAAGTAGCCAGGCCTGAGGGGTGAGGGGCACAGAGATCCTGGGGCCTGAGCACTGATCCTACCCTGTTCCTGACACAGGCCTGGAGTCAGTGTCCCCGACCCTTAGCAGCACAGTGGAGTCATCAGGAGCTTCCCAGCACTGGACTTCTCCCCAGATGGGAAAATTGCTCTGGGCTGTGTTCCCAGGTGATTCTATGTGCAACCAAGACTAAGACTTGTCTAAAGGAAAGAATTGGGAGGGGCAGACAGCCAAGGTTGAGCACTAATCTGATTAATTCTGGGAGAATTTTTTCTGGTGGTCTCCTTGGCCCCACTTAAAGGTAACAATGAAAACAGGAGAGGAGAGCCCTCCCCGGTGGCAAATAGGTTAAAGCGCAGCACCATGAGGCTGGCTGCAGCCACTTCACCATGAGTTCGATCCCCGCCCCAGCGGTGACCCACATGGCACAGAGGACCTCTCCTGACTCGCCTGCTGCTCCCCTCAGCAGTGTACTTCATCAGTCTGCCTGTTCTGGTTCCCACTCTGTCTCTGGTGAATCCTCTCACCGCTCCAGTTCTGTATGCATAAATGAATCATTTGGGTGCTCCCTTGTGCAAATGAAAACAGGGAGGTGCCAAGAGGTTCACTGACTTGTCAGATCCTGCTGGTCGGGGCTGAAAGCCCCATTCCTGTGTTAGGGGAAGGATGTTCCAAAGGAACTCTGCAGACTTGTGGACCCCACCCCCTACTCCAGCTTTCTCGACTCTACCCCCTACTCCAGGGATTGGAAACTACAACTCCCAGCAGTACCAGGGAGAGAACTGCGAGGACCCAAGGGTGGAACTAGCAGGAATTCTGGGATATTTGGGGGATAAATGGGCTGCAACTGCATCTCTCTCTCTCTTGCTCGGGAAACGGCTCTCCGACCGTGTGACTCGGTGTGTTCAGTCAGCCTAGCCGTAAGGTATTCCAGTTACTGTGTATCCCGCTCTCTTTCCCTGAGTTGTTTCCTATTCCTTTCCCCTTTTGTAAGTAAACCCGTTATTGACCCTTTTGTGTGTGCCTGCAGTATAACTGAGTTGTGAGTGCGCAGGCGAGACCCCCAGACTGGCGGCCCAGTCCACTCTGGGCTACCTTGTAACACCTTCACCCTGGCCTAGGTGCCTCCCACTAGGCTCAGGACTGGGCCAAGATGAAGAAGATGGCCTCCTTGGCACAGTAGCTGGCAGCTGTTCTCAGCTTCTGGTCCAGGAGTCCAGGCCTCCAATGTCCTTGCCCATTACCCAGGACATAGCCACTAACACATATTACAGTGACCAGAGACACACACTGAATAAGGCGATCTCCCCTGAGGAAGAAACCTATGACGTTGGCCTCCTCCAGCCATTGACTCTTCACCATTTCCTAGCAGAGCTGGAAAAAGTGTTCTTTGGCACATCAGGAAGATCCCCAGGCTCTGTGGCAATACCAGTTTCTCAATGGAAAGATTGCACTCAGCACATGGCCAGTATGCCCAGCTCAGAACCAGCTGGAAGTTCTGATGACCATCTTGAAAGATCTATGTTCAGATCAGCAATATTGAGAAAAAGTTACTTCATGTTCCAAAGTGAGCTTCAAAAATATAAACACATGGGTTAAAATACCAAGAAGAAAAAGAAAACAAAAAACATTTGCCATTTGTGGTCAAGGTACCGAGTTATTAAGTTAGAGAGTTATTGTTCTCCAATTTCTTTTTCTTTTTAGAAGATCAGGTTATTTATTTATTTATTTGTGCATACAGAACTGGGGTACAGGCCAGAAGTGCAGGATCAGTGAGAGGCTTCACCAGAGACCCAGTGGGGAGCAGAACAGGCAGATCGATGAAGTACACTGCTGGGGGGAGCAGCGGGTGAGACAGGAGAGGTCTGCTGCGCCATGTGGGTCACCTTCCCACCCACGGATCAAACTCGCACTGAAGTGGCAGCGGCTGGCTTGCAGTGTTGCACTTTAACAGGTTGCCCCACCAGGGAGGGCCTGGTCTCCAATTTCTTTAAGTGATTGTTTCAAACTGTGAAATGTTACTGTGAAATGAGAGGCTTGAGATTCTTAGAGTGGCAGGGTATCCACAGAAAGGGTCTGGCAAGCCACTTCTGCATTTCGATTTATCCACTTTCTCTCAACCTTTATGGTGCCAAGGATACTCCCCAAACTTTCCAGAAGTGGGGAGGCCTGGTCTGAGAAACTTAGAGAGCAAAGCTGGACCACTGGGCCCAGGGTGAGACCTACTTAACCAGTTCAATAAGCATGTGTGACAGGGGAATATTCCTAGCGGAAACATATGCGTCCTCTGTATTTTTCTAACAGCTTCTGAAGTGTTCATCAAGCCTGTGTCTGATTAAGCACTTTTAAATTCTGAGCAATGAAATGGGCCCTCTCATACCCTCTTGGCAGGAGTGCAAATTGATACAACCCTTTTGGAGAACCATTTGGCTGTATGTATCAAAATCAGAAATGCATATAATCTTTGACCCAGAAATGCCACTTCTAAGAATTTATTGTACAGAAATGTCTCTACAAGTCTACAGAAGTATACAAAGGATAGTTTTTGCACTTTAAATTGTTATAGTGAAAAAACTACAGCAACCCAAAGCAATCAATAAGGAATTGGTTGGATAAATTGTAGTTCCATTCATAAAATGGAACACTAGACAGATACTACAAAGAATGAGCTAGAGCTCATAAGAACCCCTGGGAAAGAGAGTTATACACAAAAATAACATACGTACAGAAAAGGGGGTTTCTATTTTCAAAAAAAAAATGATTAAGGATGGCACTCATAGTGTAGGTTTGGGGCTAAAAAGTTTGGTTCTTGGGTTCCTCAATTGTATTATAAATCTTGAACTCTCAGAGAGGTAATTTGGGAGTCTCAATTTAGTTCCTGAACTCATCATTCTTTCTCTTCCTTAGCATTAAAGAGCAACTAACAGTCGCTCAAACACAATGTGAGACTCCCATTAGTCATAGTACTTAACTATTCTTGCAAAGTGACCTTTCTCAGATTTAGGAAACCAGTTATCAACCAAGCCCTGAAGACTGCTTTTCGAGGACAGTGACAGTGATCGTTTAGCTGACTTCACCTTCTCTTGCTTGTATATTCAAGTTGCATGTATTGGAAGTATGTATCTTGAATGTGTATATTCAAAGACCACTGTGGTACCTCTTCTACACCAGCCTCCAAATCGATGCAGGCGGTGACGTTGTTAAAGTACCTAAGCTATACCCCCCAGAGATGTCAGAACCCCAGAGGAGACCCACTGGGTTTTTAATCTGGGCCTTTACAGATGTTGAAAGCCAGGTTTGGTTCTTGTTTGTAAGGGCCCCTGACTCTCCAAAAAGACACTTCCAACAGTCAGGGATGATGTGGTTGTCACAGGAAACTTGCTCCTTTTAATTTGTGTTCACTTTAATTTTACTAACAATATTTTAAATATACTTGTGATTAATTTTCTTATAGATCAATTGTGATAAATTTTCTTATAGCCCACCCTGTGCAAAGTGAACAAATCTGGCCTGAGCAGGAGTTTTAATTATGTTTGCATGGTTTCCCTCAGCCTCTTGCACTTCTGCATACTGCCACACAAAGAATTCTGAATCAGGAAATAATGGAGCACTTTGTTTACTTATTTGAACCCAAACTGCAGCCAGGACTAGGCCCACATGAGTCTTTGGTGCAAGGCGGTGCCATGAACAGAAAACCACGTGTGTCGTGGGCTGGAGGAGTATTTGTTATTCAGCATCACTGGGGCCAAGCTTGACTAATACAGGATGAATGGCCTTATGTTGGGCTCTGCTCATTTTTATTTCTGATTCCTTTTTGCTGTATAATATAAACTTTCAGAAGCGTGTGAGGGCCTCCTGGTATCCTGCCATCGTCCTACTCCTGACAGGTAACCACTCCCAGGCAAGTATTTTCTAGCCACCTCGTGTTTGTTTTAAACATTTGCCATGCAGTTACATGTCTGTAAACACAGTCTAGTATTGTTGTGTAGGTTGTAAAACTTGATATAAATGCCACAAATATCCTCTGCCAATCACCTGTTACTCACCCCCACCATGATATTTCAGATTTAGTCACTCACTTTAACTACTGTAACACTGACACACCAGAATATGCTCTTCTCTTTTGGGAGACATTTTAGTTGTTGACCATAGTAGTGTTGCAAGGAACCGTATTGCACCATCTCTGAGTACTGGCTTTTCTTTAAGATCAACTTCCTCTGTGGAATCAGGAGACTGATCGAAACTCCCACAATCTGCACGGTCAGCCATGGGCCCTGTCAAGTCCCTTCTCTGGCCTTGTGGGAGCTGCTGTCCAGAAAGAGCCTGCAGACCATGGACTTAGCCCCTAGAATTTCTACCACAGGCCCCTGGTGATGGGGTCAGTACCGAGATTGGCTGGGGGCATCTGAACATACTTTCTTTTGCTCCTTCCACATCTTATATACACATATATATTTTTTACATCATTCTTCCACATATTATTCCCCACTATAGTACTTCACACTTCATCTTTTCGATCATTATATGATTTCAAGTTCCTGGTCAGGACTGAAATGTTGGCAAGAGGGTTAGAGACAGAGTGAGTGAATGAAGACTCTGTTAATCGGCCTCTTTCTTCCTCACACAGCAATTTTTCTAACAGATGCAATTACATTTGAGAGCTGCAGAGAACGGAATCTTATGTTTTATTTCTTTATTCATCATTTTACAAATGGGATTCACTGTAAAAAGGAAATTGCCTTTGTAGTTCAGTTCTTCAGGCTGGAGTACTCGGAGCTTCAGTTTCACACCAGCTGCTGCTGCCACCTTGTATCTGGTGGGAGAGAACCAGCTAGGGAGGGAGGCCAAGAAATCAGGCAGAGTTCATTTAAATCCAATATATTTTTATTCTTTGTAAATACAATGAGTACAACCTTTTAACTTCACAAATCAGTTAATTCACTTTGTACAAGAAAAGTTTTACTCATCCTATGATAGTCCAAGTGCTGAATATTTTTCCTCAGTGCTAGTACCTAATAAATCAAAATGTGAAAAGTACAGCAGCTATTTTTAAATGTTTGTTTCTACATTTCCATAAGTATAGATTCATACCAAAGGAGCAGCTTATAGTGTAGGATGATGATGTGTGTGTGTGTGTGTGTGCGCGCATTCAAGGCTTTACTAGAAACCAGTTTTCTGAAAGGCATTGAAGAGTCTCCGGCTGTTAGCAATGGATCGATCAAGAAACCTCTTAGTGCTCATCTCCTTTCACCCCATCTGTATTCATTTACTGTCTGGTGTGACTCGCTGAAACACGAGTGTGGCCCTTCATTGCCTTTGGTTTCAGCACTGTGTTAATGGGACAGAAATCTGCCTCACTCAATCACTCGTCTCCACTTTATTTGGTTTTGCTGTTTTCATCCTCCCTTGACTTGTGTTGTTTTAGTAAAGCTCTTCTATTTTTTTATCCAACTGGAAGTCCTGGTGAGAATATCATGTGCATCCACCAATTCTTTTGACAAGGTTGCCTGGCCTATGGTATTAAAAAAAGAAGAACGAAAGAGAGGAGAGAAAAAATATAGAGAAAAAGCAAATCTCACAGCATCAGCTACCTTTCACGTATTAACTCAATTCTGAAGGCCACTTCATGACATATTACAATAGAAGGGGAACTTTGATAAAACTTTTGATTTGAAACATAACTGTTGTTTTTTAAAGGAATTCTCCAACATGGGATAGTTCTGAGGGCTGCTGTAAGATGTTACGTACAGAGCTACATTTGTTTATCCAACTTTATGTGCTAAACAGGAAAAGAGAGTTCTACTTGTGTTGCAGTTTTTGAGAGTTCAGCCCCATTTTCCAGGTGAGAGGCAAGATGGCTTGGCCAGGCAGCCCCTGACTCGGCCCACCCCCACGAGGGCTCCCCAGCAGAGAGTTCTCTCTGTTCAGGTGGTTCTGTTATATGGTCCCCTTTACTGCTGGGCTGCCCCACCCTGGTGGAGGCAGCAGGTCTCAGCTACTGGAACTGTTTTTTGCCTGTTGACATCTTTTTCCTGAAGGCTACACAGGCTGTTCCCAGGCTTATGCTTCCTGAAGGGTTTGTTAGTTGAGGCTTGTCCTCCGTGGGTAAAAGTTCATCAGATACTGTCCCATCCTGAAAAGTGGGTACTTTGCGGGCTTAGATATCGCTGGATTTGTACATGTCTGAAAGCAGTCTTGTAATTGGCACATTGCCTATGGTTTTCTTGAAAAACACTTCTTCAATAGTGGATGGGCTAATAGAACGTAAAGCTGGCAAAAGCAACAGGAGTTTTCCAAAGCGACAGGGTTGAGTGGGATATCTAGAATATGAGAAGCAGTGAGAGCAAGATCAGATCCATTACTAGTGGAGATTAATACTTCATACTTGAACACATACCATCTGCAGCATAATTTCCTCACTGGGTCTCTAGGAAGGTGCTATCCAGTAACACAGTCCCAGATAGCTACTACTGCCACTTTGTGCAGGTGAGAGAAGTGAAGCACGGAGAACATAAATCATTGCCAAAATCCCATGGTGCCTGTCTTTATGTCAGCAAAAGGGTTACATTTTGCTTGGAGGAAAAACAAATTTTAAGAAGCATGGAATTAAGTTTAGGTCAAACAATACACTCAGAGTTCCCAGTGTAGAAGACAACCATGCTTTATGATGAATCATAAACCGTGCAATAGCACCCACTCTTTCTGAATGTTAAGTCTCCTTACCAAGGATATTTCCCTCAAATAAAATGGATTCTTTTTTAAAGCAATTCTACAAATTATTATTCAGGCATTATACTTAGTCACTCTGAGGAATAATTCCATCCTTATTACACTGCAAATTAAAGGCAGTGCCACCCAACTTTCATGTCAATGAAATTGGCATATAATTAAAGATGTGAGAAATTGCTTAACAATTTCCTCTCTTGATGTCCAACATACATCTATGTTCAGATTGCAAGTTTAATTTGCTGCTGCTTTTAGATGCCTATAAGCCACCTCCTTATTGTAGCCCTGATGCTTCTTCAGTCAATAGTTTAGAAGCAGGTACCAGCACCCTTCACAGGCAAGGTTCCCTCCACGGGAAAAAAGCACATAACACACTAAGCTCCAGAGATGTGTATCGGTGACAGCAGGGCTCAGCCTGTGGCCACCAGGTAGCAGACACTGACAGGTATCAAATTCCTTCATAGGAGTCAGGTAGTTGAAGACTGAGTTGAATTGTCCAATGACTCTATTCGTCCATCCTGCAAACAGAGTCCAGGTAAGCAACTTTCATGTTTGTCTCTTAGCTTTGAGCATATGAAGACACCTTTCTTCCACCTGATTCTAAACTGATAATTCATTTTGGGCACAGTAAGAGTTCATTTGGCTCTTTCACTGCCCAGCTTCATCACAACCCAAGGACAGGGACCACCACATATACTAATGTAATGAAGATGGTGAAACTTAGCTACACTAAAAAATTATACCGGTCCCCCTGGTGGCATAAGGGGGTAAGCCTCAGTGCTATGAAACTATCTGCATTCACTGCAGCACAAGTTTGATCCCTGGCCAGGGAGCTGACCCACATGGTGCAGCAGACTTCTCCTGTCTCGCCCACTGCTCCCCTCAGCAGTATGTTTCAGTCAGTCCACCTGTTCTGCTCCCCACTCTGTCTCTGGTGAATCCTCTCACCCTCCACACCACTGGCCTACATCCCAGCTCGTGTATGCATAAATAAATAAATCTTTAATTATTAACAACAATAATTCCTATATTCTACCACTTGCTCGCCTTGCTGAAAGCAATTCTTATATTTCCTGGAAAGTAAGCCTAAAACCTGCATCACCTTGGCCTTTTACTCTGTTCCACAGCTGTTTCCCTTCTCAGGATCAGCAGAGTAGACAGTCCTGTCTTGGGTGTGGGTAAAGGCTGTCTGGACAAACCTCTGCCATGCCTGAGCATCCATCCAACAGCTGAAGTTTCTCATGGTGAGAAACCACTGTGGGAAAATACTTCTTTCAGAAAGAGTGGGAAGAGTGGGTATTTGGAGAATTCATAGGCAATTAACTCTTGATTTTCTATGAATAGATTATCCACTTACCTACTCACCCACTTGTTTTATTCTGTAGTCAGGAAGGGGCTGGCTAGTCAATCAACAAGAATTATCTATTAGGTGTGGAGTACTGTACTACCCAGAAACAATAACAAGGTGATGGGTGTGTATGTGTGAGTGTGTGTGTGTGTTTGAGACACACACACAGAGACTTAGCTCAAAATGATCTTTTAAGGAGATGAATGCCATTAATAACAAAGTTTACTCCTCAGGTGTTTTGGGTCTGTCACAGATTCATGTATTTGATCTTCAGTTATTATTATAATTTGTGTGCTACATCAATTCCTAGCTTTCTCCTTATGTCCTAGATAGAGAAATAGCTTACAGAGCTAACAATCAGCTCCGTTTGCAATGTGAACAATTAATGTACAATTAGCTCAGTTTGCAATGTTAACTTCTCATTTCAATTTCAGATTTTATTTTTCTAGACAGGAAAGTGCTAGAGGAGAATGTTCACTGATTTGAAGGAGCTAAGAAATAAGGCATAGTCAGTTTTGTCACATGCATGACTCTAGATATTAATATTAAATTATAGCTGTAGCTAGTATTATGATAAAGAATTCCTTGTCAAAGCAGATGTCTCCCTACCATGAATAATTTCCTTGTTTTGAGGGTGGTGGAGAATTAGTATACTTGCATTCCTCTAAAATAGATTTTTCTTAATTTGGGGTTTAATTCTCCCCATTAGCACCTCCTGGTATATCAGGGCTTCCCTAAGTCTCTGTACTCACCTCTCTGTCAGCCTCTCCACAACAAACTCCCCCTTACTGATGCGGTCAACTTCCTCCCCTTTCTGAAATTGTGCTAGTCCACATTTTGCCTCCTCCATCAGTCAGCCTTTCTGGATGTTCCCTCACCCCTTCCCACTAGAGTCCTCTTTCCTCCTCTCCATCTTGTTTCTCTTTTATTTAGTCTGAAATGAGTCCCACTTCTGCCTACCTGCCATAAACACAAGGGAAATGTCTTGTCCTGTGACATCCACATTGTCAGCAGGAGCCCCCCACACAGTGAGTACTCAGGGAAGGCTTGTTGAGTCAAAAACTGGATTGTTCTTTGTGCCTTGATGGTTCTAAATGTTGAAAGTCAGTTACAAGACACAAGTTTGTCTTTAGTGGGGGAAGTGTCTAAATGATGTACTGCTTCACTTTATAATCTTACAGTATTGAACAAATATTAAGCATCTACCATATACTTTCCAAAAGTCAATATGGATTTACACTTAAAAATCAAGGCACTGGGGCCTCCCTGGTGATGCAAGGGGTAAGATGCAGCACTATGAAGCTATCCACAGCCACTGCAGCACAAATTCAATCCCTGGCCAGGGACGTGACCCACATGGTGCAGCAGGCCTCTCCTGTCTTGCCCACTGCTCCCCTCAGCAGTATATTTCAGTAGCTCCACCTTTTCTATTCCCTACTCTGTCTCTAGTGAATCCTCTCAACCGTCCCCCCCACTCCCTCACCAACTGTGGCCTACATGCTACCTTGTATGAATGAATAAATAAATAAATCTTTAAAAAAAAAAAAAAAGCCATGGCACCTTAGTTTGTAAAAGTATAAATACATGCACTAAATTCAATGTAGCTTTGATGCTAATCCTTGGGTAGGAGATGATTTTATTCATTTGTATTCAAAAGAAGCTTTATAATGAAAACAAGGGGGGATATTAGCAGAAGTGGTACCACCCCAAGTGGACACAGTTGACTTGGATTTCTTTGACTCTTCAAGGAGGGAGGCCATTAACCCATTTGATTTAGTTACTTCCCACACTATCTGTGGGTGATGTTGAGACCAAAGAGGCAAACATTCATGGGTTTCCCTTCAAAGTCAATGCAGAGAACAAACGAGAACAGTAACTCTATTCTACCCTCAGATCTACCACAGTCCTAACTTAAGTTAGTTAAGTTCTACAGCTCTTTACTACCAGCCTTGCTTTTGTTCATCTAGAAATGGAATCAGAGAGTCTATGCCTGTGGGTGGATTTTTCCATTTGGTGGACCAGGAACAGTATTGCTGGTACCCAGTAGCTGAGCATTTCTACATAAGGACAAGACAGCTTCTGCTAGTGGGCCGTGTGTGACTTGAAGTAACCTGGTGGGTGTTATGGATCAAAGTAAGCCCAACAGATAGCAGTCCCCAAAGTCAAACAGAATGAAAGGGGTCAACAGTACCTCTCTAGAAAGTTCTCTGGTCCTTTCATTTGGAAAAAGCATCCAGAGAAAAGCACTTACCTTTTTTAAAGGATGACATGACTACTCGCTATTATATCAACCCTAACATTTTAGCCTTCATTTTTTTTGACCTTTCCATGTCTGGGTCCGGACCCACAAATATGTTGAACTATTTTTGACAGATCAACTTCTTCAGACTGGACAGCTGTCGTGTTCCTAGCGACACTTTCATTTTGATAATCTGATTTGATTTGTTCCTCTCACCCATCCTGAGAAAGAGGTGAGGACACCACTTTAAGCTAAATTAACTGGCTGGCAACAGGATAATTAGTCACACTGTTAGACCTGGTTTCTTACTACCCGCTCACATGTTTACAATGGAAGCAATTTTCTTAAGTACAAATTCAAGGAAACAAGAGTCACCTGGTATGGATGTAGCTGTTGAGTGTTAGCTGTGCCTCATCTTGAAGAGCTGCGATGGCAGCAGCATTCCGGAAACTTCTCAGTTCAGAGCCACTGTGTGTGGGAACTACAAATGAAGACCAGGAAAGAGTGACAGGCAGCACAGGGGATATAGATGGGGACAGCACCTCTTTGGAAGTGGATGGCCAGCAGGAGAACATGGAGGTACCCAAGGCTATCAAAGCTAGGACCAGACTAAGAGAATTAGCACCCTTGAAAACCATCACCTCTGTTTGCAAGGGTCAGTCTGAACTTTGAGGTGGTTGAATGAGTGAGGTGGCAAAACTGGAGGAGAAGAGAGCAGGATTTATGTCTGCTTACCAGCTTTGAAAGTGACGATGCATTTTAGACAGGCGAATTCAGTCGCATCTAACCGGAGTTGTCTAAACCGAGCCACCACCTCTTGTAAAGCCTGTATTTCAGAAATGATCTTGTTCAGCTTCTGGGAATCTGTGTTGTCACCATTCATGCCTAGAATAAAAAATATGGTATAAATGCTCTAATATGAAGGCATTTCCACAATTTCATATTGATTTTTGACAAAATCCTGATATCAATATCTATTCAATTGTCACTCTAAGATATTTGATTCCATGTAAACTGGCTATATTGTATGAAAGTTAATATAAAATCTTCTCTTGGATGATAACAAACACAGTAATTTACATTTAAATAACAATGCAAGCAGTCATGAATACAACAAAACAACATTATTTGCATTTAAATATAGATTTATAAATGACAGGTATACTCTATTGTTCAGCAGGAATTTGTTATTCTTTACATGTTGTTCTTTTTTCAGTAATGTATTTTTATGGTAATTTCTACAACAAAGTCATTAAATTGTGCAATTCTTACCAGATACAGCCAGTAGAGTGTTAGCATCAACCGGAATGGCCCATTGTGCTATTCCTAGAACAAACAGTTCTCTCCAAGCATCTTCCAAAAGCATCAGCTGTCATACAATAGATGTATAATATAATATAGTGTGTAATTTATAAATTTATAAACAATTTCAATATGTTAATTTCCATTATTTAAAAAAGTGTTTTAAATGCCTAGCTTGGTCATTTTTCCTCTGAATATTTTAGCTTTCCCTTTCTCCCCCTTATTTTCCTTTTTGAAAAGGTGCCTATAGATAAGCACATGCAGTTGACAGTCATTCCAATCGCCCAAACTTTGCTTCTTTAGGAAAAGGGTTTACTCTTATTGTCCTAGCATTTGTTCCTGTCCACCTAGAAACTTCTCCCCAGACCCGGGCTCAATGAATGCCACCAGGAGCTCAGCAGACAGATGCCTCTCATCTGCAATGCTGATATTATCAGGGTTGAGGATTCCAGACTAAGCTTGCAGACCTGGGCTTCCATCTCCCTGGAGGGTTGAGGGGGCTGGGAGCTAGAGAGAAAGATCACTAATTCCCAAGAGGCATGCAGGGAAATCAGGGTGTAATTATGTTAATCGGGGTTTGCTGAGTTTACCTCATCTCACTGCCTGATTTTTCTGAGACACATAAGTGGACAGCATCAAGGTGCTTGTCATTTTCATTCTAATAAAATGTGTTACTGAATATTTAAAATGAAGATCTGGCTCCTTTTCCAAATTAATATACTGGATTCCACTTCACTGCAGTTTGCTTGTTGTTGAAGGGTTTCCACCGAAGGGCTAAGTGGCAGACAGTAAGTAAATTTTGTTTGGATTAAAGAGTCTACAAATACTTGTTTTGAGAAAAAAAATAGCCAATTCACACACACACACAAAGTTAATGGTTAGAACCAACCATTAAACCTGGTCAAACCTAACCATCTTGAAAAATATGTTTTTGAAAAAAAATCTCCCAAAAAGTAGTGAATTCTGGATGGTTCCTGTGAAAGAACTTCCATTGGAGTGTTAAAAGGTGAATTATGAAGGTTTATGACCAAAATTACAATTGGGCCAAAAGGTTTACTTTTCAAAATGGTGTTAAGTTTTATTTCATTAACTACAGAAAAAAAAATACTTTACAAATACAAGGTAAACAGTATCTAATTCTGGTCATGTCTGAAAGGTCAGGCCATGAAAAAAAGAACATCCCCTGCTAGAAGATTAATGTTTTGAGCACATTACCAGACCTCTCTGTAGGAAATGCACTTCATATTCAGGGGCATTATTATGTTTTAATTAGATATAGTATGAATCAAAGAAACAAATCTTTAGCTTTGGGAACTGCTTATTAGCCTTGGGGGAAACTCTGTTGTTCATTTCCACCCATGCACTGGGGACAGTCACTGGTTGTAAACACTTTTCTTTCTTTCCCTTAAGGATAAACAAATTCTATCGGAAGCCATTGCTGATATTCCTAACAACAAAACTCCTGGATTTGGGTAGGATGCAGTTTTTATTGGCACTTTTCTTCCTGGCAAATGTCATTTACAACCACAGAATTTGCACAATGCCTATTTGTTTACAAAATCTCTAAAAGCACTTACAGAGTCAAGAGAGAGCCTAGCCTGCAGGCTATGCACCCCTTTAATCCTACATGCTGATAAGTCAGTGGCCAAAACTGAATTTCACAATGACAATAAAAGGCTGCGGATAGAAAAGCAGCAGGCTAGATCTGGAAATCTCCAGAATATTCTCATCACCTTTTTTCCCCCTCAGTTTTAATGTTCTTAAGAAAACAATGTTTATTAAAATTTTCAAAAATCATTAAGATTCTTAAATTTTGTGATTAAATTTGATGTTTCAATTAAACTGAACAGCGAAGGTAAAGTTCTTATATGTTTTTCATAGACCAGATCCAACTTCTATAAAATAACATCATTTTGTATTTTTAGGATCCCAGAGCTATAGATTTTGGAAGGCAGTTAGAAGCTACTAAAAATAGTTTTTCTCATTGTTGTTCAGATTGGACCCCTGGCATTGGTACTTAATCATAAAGCTGACTGCTGTTACTTCTTTCCCAAACCCTTTCCCCAACACCTGAGAGCCTCCTTGGACATACCTGGTCTTGCAAAGACAGCGTGGAGAAAGCAGGCACACTCTTAGCCCACTTGATGCTCATAAACAGAAGCCTGGCAGCTGATTCACACACGGACTCTGTTGCAACCTCATAGAGATACATTGGGGTCCCATTCACTTCATGAGGGTACTGAGCAGGATAGAAGACAAGCATCAGGGAGAAGCCATAGGTTACAAGAAGACCCAATCATCCTTTATTTATTATTTTAAAATTTTTTTTCATTAGAACAGGGCAAGAAGTAAGCTTTAGGATGTTCTGCTTAAACATGCAGTTGCCGTAGGTGGAACAAAAAGAAACATCTACATCTACAGATTCTAGGAAATAATAATTGTGGGGAGAGGCCCATTCCTACTCTTTGGGGGCCTGTTCTTCCCAGAAAGGCATCTGGCTTTTCAATACTCTGCAGCAAATTTTCCTCAGGCTGAGCCAAGTGCCAGGCCTGTCTCCCAATTTAGACAAGAGCTGCTTGCGTTTGTGTAAATAAAAATAGATGTGAAAAAAGTATAAATTAATAGGCATCCCAAACACAAATATGCATATGAGTATTTTTAGAAAGGATTAGTATATTATGGAAATATTTCAATTAGACATCTTAATCATTCACAGAGCATTCCCATTCATAACTGACAACATATTCATAACACTACTTTCCCAAGCTTATTATACACATCAAGGGTAAGAAAGCAATATTAAATATTGTGCGTGTGTGCCCAGGTGTTTGGCTCCCCTGGAGCGTGGGACTGCAGCTGGCCCTTCTCTCAGGGAGCTCCTGCGCCCCTCTGGGCCTGGAGTGCAGGCTTTGGGTAGGAACCAGCTGGAAACCAGAAGGGTAGTTCCTAGGGGGCAGGCTGGGGTTCCCCAGTGGCCCTGCTAGTACAAGCTCCATCGTGGTGTAAATCCTTGAGGCTCAGGAATGAGTGAGGGGCCAGCAAGCCAGGTTCCTCAAGCTGTTCTAATAGGGTGAGCGCCACTTTTTCTCTGTTGCATGACTTTGCTCAAGAGATTAAGCAGCCTGAGATCTGCGAAGATGCTGGGGTTCTTCTGCCAGGCTCAGACAAGTCCTTTCTTCTAAAAGCAAGCCTCTGTTCTTCTGGTCTCCAGGGACACTTAGGCTACTCTCTCATTTAAAGGTACAGTTTCCTGGCCTCACTTCAAAGTTGTTGAGAGGAACAGTGGGGGTGGGCCATATTCATGGCCAGCCCACACAGTGACTTAAGTACATACTCAGATTTGAGCATCCCTGGCTGGATGCACATTCAAGCCCACTGCCATGGAGGGGTGCCTGTTGTGGCTGACTCCAGTCCAGTTCAGAAGGAACCATTTGCTCCTTCCCACCCTCTGCTCAGTCAGTACAAGTCTCCCTGGGCCCAGCAAGGGCTCTGACCTTGGGTGTAGGTTGAGCCAGGCTCACGAGGGCCTGCCGCTCTGGGGTGGCCGACACGGCGGCCAGCTCCAGGCTGTGCGGCTCCAGTTGCGTGACTGCAGTGAAGAAGGCCGGGGCCGGCAGCGCAGCGGAGGGGAAGTGTGCTGCTGCCCCACTCTCCTCTTTGTGTCCGCGGAAGTAGAGAGCCACCTGCTTGCGGATGGTGGACGTCCGGGGCCCCCGTTCATGCTGCACAGCTGTAGAGAAAGGCAGAAGGACACAAGCTCAGGATCAGGGACTTAATGATACTTAGTCCTTGGGCACTCCAGTGCCAAATGCCACATCTTGGCAGGCACAGTCACCCAAGAGGTCCAGGGAGGAGGAAAAAGAAATGTGAGCACCAGGGGAGCTCAAAACTCCATCTAACGCCTACAAAGTGTATGTTACAAGCTTGGGCTTGTCGGCCCAAGCTTGACGATAATGGTCAACCCCCAAGCAAGACTTAGTGGGTCTCTTTGCCATTCAGGGCTGCTCCCCATTCAAAGGAGACTGCAGAGAAACCAGGCAGGATTGGGGAGTATCCTTGTCAGCAACCTGGAGAAGAGGGAGCATTGCACAAAACGATGTTTCTGTGCAGACTTGCTCCTCCCTCACCACCCCAGGACTAGTCCTCTTTCCTACTCCCCCACCAGTCCCTAGGGAAAGACTGTTTGGCCAGCCCAAGAGGGCCCCCAGGGGTTATGTTGGGGGATGGCCTGAGGGGAGCCTATCTCAGACTGTGCGGGAGGAAGGCAGGGGAGATGTGACAATCACTATCAACAATTTAAACAAACAAATGAATTCAGGATAATCTTCTGCTTTTCAAGCTTGACAATGTGTGTCAATACAAAGTTCCACAGGTTGAACTCTTCCCTCCCGCTTCCTGTGCGGAAGGAACGCTCCCAGTGAGCGCTGTGACTGAACCAGCTGCCACCTGGCTCCCAGGTTACCTGATTCTGTGGCTCCATTCCTTCTTCCCCACCATACCCCCAACTCTGCCAGCCTGGGGTGCTCTGGAGCCAAGCCAAGACACGGGTGAAGCCTGCGTTGCCCTCTGAGCCCAAGAAACCTGCTGCGTGAGTTGCTACTCTGGTGTATTGAAAAGTAGCCTGGAGCTGGGTGTCTAAAACACCGGCAAGTGGAAGCCTGCTGCCCTAATTCTATAAAACCAAAAGTCCTGGAAAAGCCTAAATGACCACAGTGGACTTACTGCTTTTCAAATCTCTGTGAACTGGCTGGAGTCTGCATCGAATTCCATGTCTTTGTGTCTCCCCTTCTTCCCCTAACATGTGTCCCCTAGCGCCTACTAATTCCTCTCCAGAAACTATTCCAGACCTTGAGATCCTGCAGGAGACTAGCAGGCTCGGGGTCGCCCACCCAGGGTTGTAAAGCAGGTAAGAAGTGGAGTTAAGACCCTATGAGAAAATAAATGGTGAGGTCCCAACAGAGCGGGACTCCTGAGAACGCTGACTTCCAGGGAGTGGTGTGGGGTGCAAGTTTCATATATGGGCCTGGCTTTTGTGCTGGGGAGTTCACTGAGTCAGGAAAGGGCTTATGCTGAGAGATAGGAAGGCTATGACTGAAAGTCTGAGGCCAATTCCCAGCATCTGGAAAGAAGCTCTGGGGAGATGATTTACATGCATAGGAGTGCCATGTATTTTCTGTACATATAATTTACTTACTACCCAATCAACATTAGAAGAATAAAAGGATGTGCTGATTACCATCTTTGTTCATGTTGACTTCCAAACACTTCTTCAGTCGACACGCCCTGCACTGGTTTCTGTGCGTCTTGTCCACGGGGCAGCCTCCCTGGAACAGAGCGCAGGCGGTCAGCGGTCCTCAAGTTTTTCCGAAATGGAGACTAGACACGGTCTGGGTGGGGGTGGGGGTGAGCGGGGGACTGGAGCAGACCCTGCTACCGACCTGGGTCCACAAAATGCAAGGGTCTTGGTACAGCAGGACCAGGTAGAAATGGGGCTGGGATTCTTGGGTCCACTTTAGCGGACCAACTCCTGGCGCTAGGAAAACGAACGAGAAGTCTTCCTACAAGAAGATGAAGCATCAGAAGCGCAGGATTTGCGCAACTCACAAGCTAAACTTTCGCCAAGTCTTGGTGCGAGGCTTTTCAGGACCGAAGACAGCGACCTGTCCTAGAGAAGGCCTCAGAGGTCTGTGGAGAGGGGACTTATCTGCCCGTGTCCCTGCAATCTCTCTTTCCCGCCAGCTATTCTTCCTGGTTTCAGATCTTAAGTTTGCCTCATTTTGTCATTTTCTGGGTGGGCCCACTTTATCTCTCAGAAACACCTCTCCCATTTAGTTTTACTTCCCTCTTTCCTCATTCTTGTCTTTATTCTTGAAGCCAGCATGTTGAGAGTTGTTTTAAAAACTAGCCTCACTGAAAATTACTGCTTTGCATATCCAAAATTCTTAAGAATATTCTGAGTCCTTTGGGGATGGCATTTGTTAACCTGAGGGAAAAGATCTCTCTAATCTGAAAAGGGGAAACAATCTTTCTAAGCTGACAAAATCCTGAGTATGAACATTGGCTTGCTGTTAATAAAAAGTGTTTCATACCCCCCCCCCCCACACACACACAAAAACTAGCCTCAGTTGGGATTCATGGGAAACACTGCCATCCCCTGAAGGTCCTCCTTGCAGGATGGTTGAGAGGGCTAGGCCTAGACAGGGCAAGAGACCAAGTCTGCAAAAAGTCTAGACATGCCCACCATGTTCAATATGACCAGAAAGATAATGTGAGATATGGGACAAAATGATAATATGGACTGAGAATGTAAGCACAATTAACTGATTAAGGGGAAAATTTCTAATTGCTGCTTTAGAAAATTTATCTGAGCCGCATAAGAAAATAAATGTTTTACCTAATGCAACTTTCTGGGAAAATATTGTCCATTCAGAGAGGAAATTTATAGAGAAAACTTCTCATGGAATTAATTCAGTGCTGCTATACATGGGAATATATGCATAGATACATAGTGAGAGCTATAAGCGCATTTTGTATACAGAAAATACGTAAGAATTCTGTATTCTCCTGTGTTTAAATGATTTGCTGCTGTTACATATACAGTGGGAAGAAAGAACAAACTGAATGTATTTTTATTTGGCATCATAATCTTATAAATTCATATAGTCTAAAGTTGAAATAATTTTTTTAAAGATTTATTTATTTATGCATACAGAACTGGGGTACAGACCAGAGACTCAGGGGTGGTGAAAGGCTTCACTAGAGACAGAGTGGGGAGCAGAACAGGCAGATCGACGAAGTACACTGCTGAGGGGAGCAGCGGGCGGGCCAGGAAAGGTCTGCCATATCATATGGTCACCTCCTGGGCAGGCGGGAATTGAACTCATGCAGAAGTGGCTTTAGCTTCTCAGTGTAGTGCTTTAACCCACTGCGCCACCAGGGAGGGCCAAGTTGAAATAATTTTTTAAAAATAGTTCTTAGGGGAAAATTACATGTTAGAAATATAGTTTCATGAGATTACATCTCTCTGGATTAAAAATATACTGATTTGGCCCTCCCTGGTGGCGCAGTGGGTTAAAGCACAGCACTGAGAATCTAAAACCACTTCCGCATGAGTTAGATTCCCACCTGCCCTGGAGGTGACCACATGGCCTGGCAGACCTCTCCTGACCAGCCCACTGCTCCCCTCAGCAGTGTACTGCTCCCCACTCTGTCTCTGGTGAAGCCTTTCACCACCCCTGAGCCTCTGGTCTGTACCCCAGTTCTGTATGCACAAATAAATAAATCTTAAATATATATATATATATATATATATACTGATTCGTCTAAGATAAATTGTACGATAGAGATTCATAACAATGTCTAACTATCCTCATTTCTGTCAATATTAAGTTGGAATATCACTTATCTAGTCTTAGAATAAAAAGTTCTGGGTTCCTGAGTAAATTTTTCAGGGCATCTTTGCTGGCCAGTGTTAATAGATTCAGGTAAAAAGTTTTAAGGGATTTATTACTAAATGCAATCATGTTTATCCTCAACTATTTTCCTTCCAGAATGCAAAATGAAAAACTCCATTCCTTTATAAGAATGTCTTCAAAGCAGGTGATACGTATGTAAATATCTGGAGCCTGGGAGAAATGTGAGCATCTGAGATCAATCCATTTATTCTCTGTGCAAGGAGAGGACCACCAAGCCTGATGAGTCTATTATCACCCTTTACAAGTACTTGGACTGACATCAATAGGTTTGAATTGATAGTCAATCCTACTGAAAATATCAGTGATAACATCTGAGATTTTCACTCCCCAATTTGGTGCAATGCATAAATGTAAAAAAATAATTAAATAGATGCCTACTCAAATATGATGACCCACAGCTATTAGGATTGAGTCTTAAGAGTATATAATAGATGTCTCTATGGGTGAAATTAAAAGTGGATACTGAACTGTGTAACTACTTAAACAGGACTGGAGAGTTCAAAATAATCTATCCAGATGCAAGTATTTTCTTGTTTTTTTTTGCTACTATTTCAAATCTATCAGAAATTGATACAAGAAGACAAGTCTTCAGAAAAAGAATTCACTAGCACTATACAATATATATGTATGTACATGTATAGATATAGTAATTGGTGAAAACATTTTCTACCTTGGTTACCAAGGGATGACTTCTGACTTGCACTCTCCAGGGTCTACTTGAGAGTCAAATGGGGGCTCTGTGCAAAGGGTCTGTATGCCTGGTTAAAGAGAAGGCAAAGTGCCAGAAGGTAGACATAAGGAAAGTAGATAGAAATAAGACCATTACTGAGTCAAGGGCCTCTACTCAGGTATTGTGGAAGTTTTGACTCACACACAGCTGTGCCCTGAAACCCCTGTCTCTCTGAGGCATCTGCCTATTTAAGGTCAAAATACAACCAACCAGGCACACCTTCTAAGCAGAAAAAGAGGAAATTTGGACATCTTAGAGAGGGGGCCAGTTACTCCCTGGAAGTCTTCTTTTCTTGTTCACAGTGCCCTTTTCCAACAAGGCCTACCTAGAATCACCTGGGTACTGAAGGCCCAGAGCCCACTTACAGCAGTCCTGCTTGCCTACATTGAAAGGGCAGAGCACTCCTCTCTGTTCCAAATGGCTAACATTCACTTTTGGGTCTCAACCTTGATTAGACCATACTGTGCCTTTTACTTCTGCTAATCTAGGCAGCAATGGGAACACTGAACTTGGGTGCTGCTGGGTTGGGGGCAGGGAACAAGGGCAAGCAACAGATTATAATGGCCCTTTGCTATTTGTGGTTTAGATTCCAGAGTTCCTTAGGTCCCGGGTAGGCTTTATAGCCTCTGGTGTGGGCCTTGCCCAGTGTCAAAATCTGTCAGAGGATTAAAGGGAGATGGAGGGTGTAGGGAGGCAAAGGGATTTCAAACTTCCTTCTGCAAACTCATCAGCCTTCCCTTACCTCCTTCCCTCTTTCCCAAGCGAAATGGCCTCTGCGGAGGAAGGAGGGGAGCTTGGAAGACTCAGAGGAGGCCTAGGCACGAACAAAGGAGGGGGAGGCGGCAGAGGGAAGCCGAGCCGTGCAACCCTGACAAGATACCTGGTTTCCAGATTTGCAGACATAGGTCCTATTCCTTCGGATACTTCGTTTGAAAAAACCCGAGCAGCCGTCACAGGCGTAGACTCCGTAGTGTTTCCCCGAGCTGCGGTCACCACACACTTTACAGGGGATATCTAAAATGCGGCCTGAAATAACAGGGAAGACGGGAAGGGGCCAGAAGGAGAAGAGGGTGGAGAAGGGAGAGGAAAGGGGAGAGGGAGAGAGAGATGCTAAGCAATCTGACCTCTGAAGGGATTAGCACCGAAGCTGCGGTAAAAGCAAATAATGAAGTGATTTTATAGCCAAACTTTTTTTCCTTGAGCAAGTGTCAGTTTCCTACAATGAGCATTATTCATGCACCGCTACATGTATTTGGGTCTGCTCTAATCGCCGAGACCCATTTTGGAATAAAAGATTACAGCAGGCCGGGGCGGCAGCACGGCCCGCCGCTGCCTTTCTGCTCCGCGAAAAGTTTGGGCCGCCTCCCTCCCCCGCTCTTGCATTTAACAGAGAAAGTTGTTAGTGAGCGCGCGAGGAGACAAACTTGAAATGTAAAAGGGGAAAGAAGAAAAACAAACACGGCTGGAACCAGGGATGGCAGCTGGAAGGCAATCGAGTTTTCTCTGAGCTGCCGGGTGGTGGTTATTATTAGGATTATTATTGTAATGCTAATACTAGGATTATTAATGATAATAAGGGTAGTGGTAATTGCCCAAGTTTCGCTTTACCTATTAAAAATAATGCTTGGTAGATCGCTTTTAAGAAATGATTTCTTTTAGGAAAAAAAAATTTTCACCCCAAAGTAACTAGCATCCGTCCTGCAAGGGAAAGGAGGGTGGTGTAAATCTGTCCATTCCCAGGCAGGTTAGTGGGGAACGGTTTTTCCTCCACTCCCTAAGCTCTTTCCTCCTCACAGACGGGCTTGCTCCATGAGATCCTGAGTGGGTCTCTTCCACCCTATATTTTCCCCACCACTGTCTGAGGCTAAGTTTTGTAAAGAATCTTGACTGTTTTCCCAACATTGGCCCTCCACTTCCACTGCCTCAAGTACTGCCCTGCTGAAGACAACTTTTCCTGGATTTTCCTCAAGCCTGGAATGGCTGCGGACCCTGGAGGGGCGTTAGGAAGAGGGAAATAATCGAAAATTCAAAAGGGAGGGAACTATTTTTCTCTAAGGTTCAAGAGTGCCACAAGCTGGAGCAGTTTACCAGGACTTAGAAATCCTTCTTCCCGCAAACAAAGAGAACATTAAATATAAAGCGTTATCTTAATTGGCAACTTAATAATAACGGATGGTGATGGTTAATAAAACTTGTTAATAACAATTAATTTCTTGACATTTCATTTCCCAACCGAAGGCTTCCAGTTGGGGTTGGGGGGGCCTCCGGCCTGCAGGGAATTCGACGGCTGCTCTCTGGAGCGGGGTTTGGGTATCGCCCTTAGGCTGAGGTGCAGAGAAGCTGCTGTAGAAACAACTGGACAAGAGGTGTGGGGGAAGGCAAGGGCGCCGCGTCCGGGAGCCCTACCCCGCGCCTCAGGCGGAGGAAGTAGATTCTGAGGCTCCCAGGTGGGCGAACACCCGGGTCCCGGTTTTGGATGGGCCGCTGGAGGTGGGGAGGGGGGCGTGCAGAGCAAACGCGGGCGGTCGGGTTGCAGAGGGGGGGCTCGGTAGCCACCAGGCTCGGCCCGAGTAATTACAACCCTGCGGTAGCACCTGCCTATAGAGCCACCAGTGACCCGTCAAAAAGAGTAGCATGGGAATTCGAACGGCGACAAAGGCCAACTGGGGCGGCGCAGGGCGCGGCGACCACCGCCCGCCTCAGCGCCCCCTCTCCAACAGAGTGGGAGGAGAAGTTGTGTTGGGGGGCGGGGAGGGTTGGAGAGAACCAGACTGGCCTCCCCGCGTCTGGTTCCTCACCCCCTGTGGCCTGTCACTGCTCCCAAGGGAACTCAGAGCTGCCCAGCAGCCAGAGAAGCAAGTTGGCCTGCACTGCAGTCACTTTGAAATCCCTCAACTTGTTTCCCGTATTTTGCAACCTTTCTCCCTGTCTAACACCTACCCTGCGACAGAGCTTAGGGTCCATGTTTGGGGTCCAGCAACAATGTTTGGGGTCCTTGCATCCTCTTCCCCTTTGGTGATGCCAAGAGGAGTGCATGGACCGAGCAGGAGCAGTGGTGGGATTTCTTTTCCCGTTTCCCACCCAGAGAAGAGGCCAGGGATACACGTCCCTAGGGAACCCCTAAGGGGTCCAGGGTGGACCAGTGTGGGCTGAGGACCAACTTCGCAGACTGGGAGGCGGGGTTCCGGGACCATCCCTTTCCCTCACCTCTGCCCAGGGGTGCCCAGGCAGCCAGGACTGGGTGTCTCCGATGCTTCCGTGCAGACTTTGGAGCATCAACTCCTGGTGCGGGAGGGACGCAGGATGGAGGGACGTGAAAATTCCCAGCTTAGCGGATCTAGGTCCCAGACTCCACCACACAACCACTTTAAGGTGACTTGGGGTTACCAGAAAAGCTGTTTGACCCTGTTGCAAAGCTCGCTAAGCGAGCTCCGACGTGAGGCTCGCGGGAGTTTCCAGAGGCTGGAAAATCGTTCTTAACTTCCCTCGACAGGGGGTCCCCTCTGGGCTTTTTGTGTGTCATAATTGCCTAAAGATATATGGCAGCTTCGATTACTGTAATTACCATCAGAGACTGTTGAAAGAAGTTAGTTTAGGATGCAGGGGTTACTGGCCTGAGTCTGGTTACCACCCAGGAGGGCTCCCGGGTGACATCGCTGCTCAGCAGTTGTGCGAAGCCGAGCGAGACGCGCGTTGCAGACCTTGCTGCCTGGCTCGGCCTGACCTTGCCGGCTGCGCGCCGACCTCCTTGCCATCAGGGCAGAGGAGCAGCAGGTTTCGGGCCTCGCTGCCGCCATCAGTCATGAGAGAGAGAGCCTAGTTGTCGCGGCGCGGCCCGTGGGGGTTGCTGTCCTGCGGGCCTGAGAAATCTCAGCAGCGGCGTCCAGACTCGCGCCGGGGCTCGAGGTTTCAGAGGTCGAGCTCAGACTCTTGGGGAGTTAGAGAGCGTCCAAGTTTCCCCAGTGCGTCCCTGTGCCTTTTCCCCAAAAAGTGCGAAGGCTCGCTCGGTTCCTAGTCCAAAGAGCTCGGGCGCGACCCCCAGGGAATCCAGCCTAGCGCCCGCCCCTTCGGTCAACTCCAAAGCCTCACTTTTCAAGCTACCCCACCCCACCCCGCCCTGGGGTTTTTGCACACTAAGTGGGTGCAAGAGTCCGCGGCTGTTTATTTCCAGAGAAGAAGGTGAAGGCCTGTCATCCGACAGGCCTGGCGAGGCCTGCCGAGGCTGGGGGGCTCCGGTTTTTGCAACCGAAGTTCGGGATGAAAGGTTATCTTTTGCACTTCCTGAGAAAGAGCCTCACACGTGGGAACATGGGCCACAAAAAGCGAGCTCGCAGCGGTTCCCAGAGATTGTAACAGCAAGGACTAGCCTCCGCCCCAGGCTAACTGCAAACTCCGGTCCTGCGCAAGGATCAACTCAGCTTTCTGCTTGTGGTTAAAGATTCCTTTTTTCCCTCCCTCGGCTCTGGGTCTAAACGCGTTTCCCTGTCCCTTTTTTTATACTCTAATTTTTTTTAAAGGCGCCACCAAATCCAAGCAAAATGGACAAAGTGAAAACAACCCACTTTTGGGGTTGTTGTTTGGGAGGAGGTGAAACTGCATCCCACTTTAGTGTGACTTCATTATCAGTCCTCAGAAGTATCTCGGACTCTCTCAACTTTCAAAGACTCATGACAATGAGGGCGAGTGAGGGGAGGAGGGCTGAAGGAAAGCACAGAGCAACAAAAATACCAAAAGCGAGAAAACAAAACAAAACAAAAAACAAGCAAGCAAAAACAAAAACAAAAAAAAACAAGGGCGGCGGGAGTACCCCAGGATGTGGGCACTGTGGCAGCGACCACCCCCTGCCTTGGACCTTGGAAACTGTAACCCCGGGCCACCGGAAGGCGGGAATTGAAATGCCCCGGGGACATTCGAACGCTGTAGTGGTGCTTGCCCAAAGCCGGCTCAGGCCTGCACTCTCGGATTCTGCACGCAATGTACTCGTAGTACATCGGCATTCTGGCATCGAGGGTGGCTAACGGTCAGTCGTATCTTGGCCTTCGGAGGAAGAACCAGCAACTAAGGAAGTTTGAGGGAAGAGAGAAACGCGTGAGGAGAACAGGCCGCACACTTCTGCCTCTGCCTAGCTTCCACTAGGCAGAAAAGTCCTTAGGATTAGGGATTCGTTGCTCTCTTTGCTAGCGCGGTTCCATACTTTAAATTCCCCAGTTATGACCTACGAGGATTTAGGATTAAGGAAAAATGTGACTTTAAATTTTTTTCTGCTTGCCAGTTTGCAGGATTATTTGAAATAACTAGAAACGAGGCGCAAAACATTCCATTCAAATCCGCTTTGCGCAGAGTTGCTTTTGCGCGCTCGAGCCTGAGTTTTGAGCGTCTGTATTATTGTGCTGCCTGGAGCTGCGGCCTAGTTCCCGCCCCCGGCGCTCCCCCCACCCTCCGAGCAACTGGCAGCTAAGTGGTGGCAACACGCAGGACTGGTGGGCTGCACGGGTCGCAGCCGCCCCACTAGAGAGCGTGGGAAATCAAGCCACCCTGAGGTAACGAAATTGTTCTTCCCTCACCACGAAACGCTCCGACTCACGGTCCGCAAGGAGCTGGGCCCAAGCCCACACGCCGTTAGAGTTCCTCTCTGGGCTCCGAGCGGCAAAAGCTGAGCGGGAGCGCCCGGGCCTCGCGTCCCGCCCGCCCCCGGCGGCGCGCCTGATCCCCACAACGGCCCGAAAGGTACCCACTTGTTGATCCGGCCGGCTTGCTCATGCTGGCGGCCCCGGGGCGGAGCGGTTGGTGGGCACTACCCGAGTCCCGACCGGCAGCGCCCGCCTCGCCGCCCGGCGCCGCTGCTCTCCAGCCGCCCTCCAGCCTGCAAGGCTCCGGGGCGGGACAGGTGGGTGTCGGTGAGGCGCTGCGCTGCTCCCCGGGCACTCAGAATTCGTTCCACAGTGGAAATTTAAGCATCCTTAAGTTTCTTCCCGGCTCTTGCAAAACCTCAGCTGCTGGGAATGTTGCTTGATACAGACACAAGCATGGACAGACAAATGGAGAGACAGACAGGCTCGAGGAAGAGGGGCGGAGGGCAGCAAGAAAAAGGTATTGAAGGACAGAGATGGAGACACGAAAATGGTCTTCCTATGGAGCCAAAAGGGCAAAATCCCTCTCTTTCCCCATTCCTGTCTCAGTCTTCAATTTCTCCCTCTACATTAGGCATGCAGAATATGGACGAATCTCTAGAGACCGTTGGTCTTGTGAGGAAAGAAGGAAAACACAACCGCAGTCTCAAGACAGATTGGCTTGGCGCTGCCGGAACCCGAGCGGCGTGTGGGAAAACTAGATAGCTGCAAAATCTTCGGACGGAACAGGCGGCCAGGTCCGGGTATCCCGGGAGAGCCGCGCACCCAGCGGCAAAGGGTCCCAGAAGTTCATTACCCCGTGACTTTGTGCCTGTCGCTGCGGGCTGGGTCCCCTGTAATATCTCCAGAAGCGCTCTGACAGGCAGCCGCGGGGAGGGGAATAGGGCGTCCCTGGCCCACTTAGCTTTTCCCCCAACTCCTGGCGGGGTCTGACGTCAGCCATGTGCGGGGAGGGGATGGGGAGAGGGAGGGGGGTTAAATGCTAATGATATTAATGAACCTCCAAGCGGCTCCCAAGGAAAATGCAGGCGCTCTCAGAGCTGACGAGTTGGAGCGTGAATATGGGACTGGGGCTCTGCGGGTGCGTGGTGGTGAGGACCGAGCTGCTCTTGTAATAAAGATGAATTATTATATTTCATGGCGAGGGGAGGGGGGAGCTGGAGCTTTCTCAAAACGCTTTCCTCCTTCTCTCCAGAGTGCCAGACAGATTCGTGGGAGAAACTGGGTGGCTGTGTGTTTGTGTGACTGTGCGCGCCGGATATGGCCATGTGAATTGGCTCATTCTTGGTCCCGTGCCCCGTCTGTTGGGTAAAACTTGGATCTGGCCCGAGGTGAGTAATTATTCATTTTGCAACTACCTACGGAAAGTTATAGCTGAGGACGCTGTGTGCGGACTTGGGGCCTGGGATGGGATGTGAGCGAGGCTCGGCGTTCCTGCGGCCTTCTTGCGGTCTGCTGGGGCACCAGCCACAGGGAGGGTGATTCCCACAGCCGCCTTCCCAAAGCAAAGACGCTTCGGAGAAGCGTCTGTAGCGACAGTTATTTGCATAGGAACTGAGGGTGTGTGTGTGTGTGTGTGTGTGTGTGTGTGTGTGTATGCGCGCAGCGCGCCAAGATTTCACCCTGCAGGTCTACCCCAGCGGCCTTCGCGGTCTACTTCTCTCCCAAGCAGAGGGATTGCGGAGAGCACCCCCAGACTCAGTCTTCCACCCCCACGGCCCCCCCGCCAGCCTTCCAGCGACTCGGTGCTCTCGAGTCCTGGTCCCCGCGCCGCGCTGCGAGAGAGCGCAAGCCGAGCAAGCAGTGATCCCGATCTCTAAGAGATTAATTCTTATTTAAGCTCTCCCAGCAGCTTGAACTTGTTGAACAAGAGCTGGTCAGAGCGTGGGCCCGGTCAGAGGTCAGGGGGTCGCACCTTCTGCTGCAGCGCCCGGCGCGGCGCTTCCCGGGGAGCCGAACCTAGACAGCAATTCCGCCGGCCGGCTCCCCACCGGCCCCACTCTTCCTTCAGACTTTGTGTCCACCGGGCTTTGATCAGGCTACATCTGTGGAAGTCTGTGCTTGCATCCCCCGAGTCCTGGGACAGCGCCGCAGCTCCCGGGCCTGGCGTCACCGGGGCGCGGGCTGTGCGCTCCTGCGGTGGCCAGAGCACGTGACCTCAACTTTGCGCTGCGGCTTCGCCTGGGTCTGGTGCCGGGGCAGCCCACACCCTCACACCAGAACCCGTGTCCCTGCAAGTGCCGCGCGGCGACCAACGCTCTGGACTAAGAACACGTAACTGTTTCCCGAGTCTTACCTTTGCTAGTATTTTTTTTTTCGAGTTGGGACGAGAATTTTGGTGTGTGTGTGTGTGTTGTGTCTAGAACAGCACAAGAACTCAACATTTTAGACAGCCAGTTTGGGCAGACGCCAGCGCAGCAATGTAAGGCAAATTTGAACTCCTCGCTCAGAAGAAGTGATTTTCCGAGGGTGGGGGGCGGGGTGGGAAACTTATTGCTGTGGTAGGTTCCTTTTTGGAACCTGGGGTTCTGCTTCCCTTCAGAAATCCACTTGCCGCCCTCAACAATCTCCACCACTCCAACGAACATGCGGACGCCATGGGGGAACCTGGTTGAGCACAAAGAACTGCAAGAGTTCAAGTAATTTATCTCCCGGAGAAGACGAGGGTCAGCGTTCAAGGCTACACCTCGGCCTGTCTCCAGGGGGGAAGTTTAGGTGACTTTGGCGCGAATAACCAGAAACAGCTTCACGTGCCGGGAGGTGGGGCTTGAAGGTAGGAGTACTAAAGCTCTCCAAGGCTCCCTAACACAGACACTCTCTACCTTCCCTTCCCTATCCCAGATACTCTGGCCCTGTTGACTCAAAGCATCAAAACTTCTAGAAATCCTACTGAGACCCACCAAATTGTCCTAAATGCAAAATGAGACTGTTCTCCTTTCTCCTGTCATCTAATCAAGGAAAGTGTCAAGAAGTGGAAGGAAAGGAAATACACACACTAGCAAAAAACAAGACTCACTCTCACACACACCCCCAAGCATGTTTGTTCTGAGTTATGAATGCCCAGCTGTAATTATTCATGAGCTTTGTATAACACACAATGCAGTTCTGAAATCATCATGATGACTTTCTGGAGTGATTGGCTTGGTGGCAATGTGTAGCCACAAGATCCAGATAGGTGGGAGGGGGTGGGACAGCGGGGCTACACCCAGGTCCAGGAGGAGCCTAGAGCAGGAAGCCTTCCCCCAGCCCTAAACTTCTGCTTATGGAAGCTGCTGCATGCTTTGGGACCTTGGATCTAAGGTGATAGAAACTCAGGGAAGAAAGCCTCCTTAAGGAGTGACTATTACTTTTCATCTTCCTTCCATGGGTTTCCAGAGTTCTACCAAGTATAGTGGATGCGTAAATTTCCTTCAAAAGAATGAAGGAAAATCATCTGCAAATTTCTCAGGAAGCTGCTGGAGCTACAGTAAGGCTAACTACTGGAAGGAGGGGATGAGAGTTCAGCCTATTTCCCAGCAAACTGCCCAACCTAAGCATGGGGCTGGACATCTCTGGGCTCCAGGTGGTTATCTGTAAAAGGACTACTACTCTATCCAACCTCAACTTCCCAAGATTATTTCTGTTTTCTTGAAGGGAAATTGTTGACAAGAGCCAACCAAATGCCACCTATCTCAGAATACCTTTTAACAGAGACAGAATATTAAGTTTAAGAGAAGTTTATAATTTTGGCCTGAGGGATGGAATCACACTGCAGAGGTCTCCCACCTTTCTAACCAGCTTCAGCCTCTTAAAGAGGACTAATTCCCTCTTTAGTCTCCTGTGAAAATGAGCTCTCAAATGAAATCAAAGCCAAAAACACAGGAAAGACCTATTCTATCAGATAAAGCTCTTTTTAAAAAAAATTATTTATTTATGAACATATGAGAACTGGGGTATAGGCCAGAGATGCAGGGACAATGAAAGGATTCACCAGAGACAGAGTAGAGAGCAGAACAGAAGATATACCGAAACACACTGCTGAGGGGAACAGCAGATAGGTCAGGAGAGGCCTGCAAAGCCATGTGGGTCACCTCCCTGGCCTGTGGTCTAATGCAGACAGCTTCACAGTGCTGTGCTTCAACCCCCTGTGCCACCAGGGAGGGCCCAGGAGGAGGTTTAATTTTGGTTTAGGAGGAAAGAAATAAAATCATAAGAAGGACCATGGGATCCAGGGGTTTCTCTGTCTGTATATCAATCCAACCTATTCATTAAATGTGGGAAACCCAGTATGTGCCAGACAAGGAGACTATAAGACATTATTGGCATGCCTCCCCCACCCCACTTCCCAAGGACACTACAGAGAAAACAGACACATAAAATGTGATAAGTGCTTTGAATTGGAGTAAAACCTGGGGAATGCTGGAAAAACATACAAGGAATCTTAAAGCAGTGTGGCATGAGGTAAGCTGTCAGGGTATGCCCTGAAAGTTGACCTTGTGTTAAGAGGATCTACTGCCTCTGAAAATGGTATTGTATTGTAGCTCTGTCTTCTGCTAAACCTCCTTCCATCTGTTTATAAAGGGAAGTAGGGTCCTGTTCATCCCTCAAGCATCAGGTTATCTGAATCTCACTCCTACCTTTCCATTTACTAGCTTCTCTAAAAATGTGGTCATTTTCCCCACTAACTGCCCCACTGTTCTTATTTTTTTAAGATGTATTTATTTATGCATATAAAAGCCAGGGTTCAGGACAGAGGTGTGTGGGTGTGGGGGGGTGGTGACAGGATTCACCAGAGACAGAGTGGGGAACAGAACAGGCAGATCAACTGAAATACACTGCTGAGGGGAGCAGTGGGTGAGATAGGAGAGGTCTGTTTCGCCATATGGATTACCTCCCTGGTCGGGGATCAAACTCATTCTGCAGTGGCAATGGGATAGCTTTATAGTGCTGTACCTAACCCCTTGAGTAACTATGGAGGCCCCTGTCCCACTATTCTTTTGAATTAAAACAGTAACGGAGAAGGAAAAGCTTACTTATCAGTTAGCAGAGTTGAAGTTGGTGTGCAACAGAAATGCACTCTACAAATCCCTTTTAGAAGCTTTTTTGAGAATCATTCCTTTAAAACTCCCTTCATCTCACTTACAAACAGGGTTAAGAAATACCCAGATTCAGAACATGTCTGGAAAACCTACCAGTTGAGCTTGGCTAAAGTTTGATATTCAGTCTTCAAAGACACACAGACCCACATTTTATTTATTTGTTTACATGAAGGAAAAAGTTGATTTTCATTTGCTTCCAAATCAGACTTCAACCTCTTATTGATTGTTGCACCCCACTGGGTGGAGAGTGGAAAAGAAGGTGGGTTGCAGAGAAAGATTTAACATGAAGCAGGTGCTCAGTGAAGGTTTGCTAAGTGACAGAATGAAAGTCAAGTTTGTTCCTGATTTTGCCATGGGCTTCTCTGCATGTTGTTTTATTTGTTACCATGTGTCTTTACTCAGAAAAGACACACTGCAAGCACCCAGAAAAGAGACCCAGGTACTCTTGAATCCAGTGGGTGCTGAGAGGGAATTTTTCCTTGACACTTTCCCAGGCTTGTTAAGCCTTAACTGTTACTCCCCGCAAAGGAAAAAAATAAACACTGTTAACAACAGCAATGAGACAATATTATGTGTAAGAGGCCCCTTTCTTATTGTGAAATCACATCTGCATATTTATTCACAATCTTCCTGGGAATCACATCAACAATGGAAATTCAGGTTTATTGGTTGGCTGAGGAGTTAGAGACTTTAAGAGTCTGACTGCATTTTGATGTACTTTTACACCCCAAATATTCACCCATATATCTACTCTATAGAGTATAATCT